CTCTCTCTTCCATCTTCTTTTCCTTTCGCTTTCCTTTCTCCCTCTCTCCCTTCTCTACATTCCTTCTTCCTCCTCTCCTTCCCCTTCCTTCTTTCCTTGCCTCTCCTTCGCTCCTACTCTTCCTTTTTCCCTTCCTACCCTCTCTCCTTCCTTTTCTCTCCCTTCCATCTTCTTTTCCTTTCCCTTTCCTTTCTCCCTCTCTCCCTTCTCTACATTCCTCCTTCCTCCTCTCCTTCCCCTTCCTTCTTCCCATACCTTTCTCCTACTCCTACTCTTCCTCTTCCCCTTTTTACCCTCTCTCCTCCTCTTTCTCTCCTTTCCATCCCAGGAGGTGACATTTATTGACGTATTTTTGGGAACAAGCAGGGCTTGTGCAGGGATGTAGGACCTCAAGCGAGAGGAGCCGAATCATCCTATGTACATTGCGAGGTTCTCCTGGATTACATTTACCACGTCCTTTTGAAGGTTGACTGCCAGGCCTCTGGAGCAGAGACGCTCTCGCTCGCTCCGCATCTCTGCAAACCTCTAACATGATGGGAACATGAAATGAAGTGGGGCCACCAGATGTTCCTTCAAAAGAAATGCCAAGGGGGGAGTTTCCTGCTGCCAATCAACACAGTAACTCTGCGATGGAGTTACTGCAAACACCGCTGCCCAGAGCAGGGGTGGAGAGAGGCGCTGAAGCTGGTGTCACTGTCATTCCTGCTTTTTCTTGCCTGGAGCAGGTTGGCAGGTTTTTGACACAAGCAACAGCATTGTTTACCCTGAGGAAGACTCAGATCTCCATAGCGGAGCGTTTGATTGATATGCAAAGATCCCAGATTCAATTCCTCGGTATTTCCAGTTAAGAAGAGGAGATATAGAGGAAATGAACTTTCTCCAGTTTCTTGTGGAGCTGACTCTGTATTGACTCTGTAGAGCTATCAATTCTGGCCACTGCCACCTGGTGGCTAAACTATAAAAATACATTATCCACCTAAGTCACCAGTTTTGCTGCAGGACACTGGAGACCAAAGTAGTCTGAACAGGAACGATAACCTCGCCTCTGTAGCCAAATATGAGTTGGTAACTTCCGGGACAACTTGCTTCCTCCTATGCTGGATGTGAGAATGACCTTAGAAAATGGGGCAGTGGGAAACAGAGATGCTGCCTCAGATAAGAGACAGCCTAGCACACAGCTGCATAAGGGGTAGAGAGAGGAACACAAAGGAAATCCCCTTCCACTTTCTCAGGTTGTAAAAAAAGGTGGATGGAGAAGAGCCAGCGGTATCCGAAGACGTCTCCGTGGTGATGTGGCTGGCATGACTCAACGCCGAAGGCGCACAGAACACTGTTCCCTTCCCACCAAAGGTGGTNATCCATCTATCTAACCTACCATATCTATCATCTCTCCGTCCATCCATCCATCCATCCATCCATCCATCCATATATCCATCCATATCTCTCTCCATCTCCCTTTCCCTCTCTTCCCCATCTTTGTGCCATTTTTTCCCCTTGTCCAACCCATCATCTTTCAGGAACTTGGGGATCCTACTTGCCATCCTTCCTATAAGTTATGGCAGCCTTATCCCAACCTCTCTGAGAGGCAAAAAGGTATAGAAGATGATTGTCAAGCCGAGGAGTCCAGGCAGTTCAAAGGAATATAGGTTTATTGTGTGCTAAGGCTCTCTAGAAGAATCCTATCTGCTAATAGTCAAAGCAACATGGTGCTAGATAAGAGAATTCGTGGAATTCAAGGTGGGCTGGACTTAGATCTCTTGAGGGCGCAAAGAGACTACTAGAGACTGATGACACACTTGACCCCTCCTTCAGGCTCATTCTGGTCATCTCCTACAATGGTTTTTCCTTAGCATCCTCTCCTTCCTCTACAAGTCCCATGGAACCTCCCCAAAACCAAGCCACAGGATGGGTTCAAAGAGCTGAGTTCTGCCTTCTGAACATGTCCTCTTTTGTCTCCTCCTCCCCCTCCTCCCCAAAGGCTCGGAGGATGAGTCAGGTCTTTGGTTTTTGCCAAATGTGAGTGTGGGAAGCCTCAAGGGCCTTCTAATCAGTAGAAGTCATCTAGGTTGCCTACAAGAGATGGTTAATACCTTGTTTTTTTTTCTGACTTCAAAAAGCTTGTCATTTCTTTTTTCGGTAGGCACCTTGTAGGATCCAGAACCCGTTCAAAATCAGCCTATCAACCCTTCAGGATCTCTGCTTTGAACATTTTTACCCTTGTACTTGGCTCATGGCGTCACCTGCCTTGCACAAGCTGAAAAGAAAAGACCGGGCTTCTCCATTTCTTTTGTTGCTTTGCTGTTGTGACAATTTGCTACTTAGAAGGCGGTGTGGTTTTATGGCGTGACAGCAATGCTCTGTGCCAAGTGTGTGTTGGAGCAGTCTCTTCTGACAAAATGCTGCTAGGTAAGATTTCCGATGCTGGATAAAAGTGTCTTAAGATCAGAGTAAAAAAATTGTACGCAGG